TTTAGGTCTATACATTGTTGGATTTGTAATTTTTAGGACCTTGGATGTTGCAATTCTTCTCCATTGACTCAAATCCTCGTCATTTAATCACTAACCCTAACATAACACAGACAGCCCGCAAATCCCATTTGATTGTGTCTTCCCTCTGTCTTTTCTCTATCATCCAAACACCTCCTAATGTGGAACTCAAGATTAACGTTATAATTCAGAACTCACACAATGCTCATTAAGTCATTAAATACTTAAATTCTATAAAAAAAAAAACTCTCCCTACTTAAAATGCTATAATAAAGTGACAGGAATTGAGATCATTGGGAAAGTAAAAGAATAGAAAAACACCATAAGAATACTTTGATAAGTTGATCTAGTTTTTACTCAACAAGAAAGTTGAAGACACCTCTCTTAATTAAAAATAATTTTTTTAATTTTATTGATTAAAACTTAAATGATTACAACTAGAAATTGAAGACCTATTTACAAAATATAGTCATGGAAAATATAAGGAAATAAAACTTCTAAATTAATTGTAAAAATTAAATTTTGCTTTAATTGAATAATTAATAAAAGTTAAGAAGATTTTGAATAATTAGAGTAAATAAGATATTTTCTTTTGCAAACTTTTTAATGGAGAAGATCTCAATTGATTGTAGAAAAATTAGGAAGAAAATAAATGAAAATTTTGGATTGGTTACAATCTTTCTTTTTCAGTCGGGATTTGGTTCTTTAAAAAATTTTCTTTTTTTTGCTTGATTCCTTTTTTCACTTAAATTGAGATGTAAGTACTACTATGTTTTTGGATTGTTGAGTTTGTTCTCCTCTTCTATTGGAGTCGGCCTTCTCTTTATAGTTGATGTTCATGCTCACATCACCTTCTTATGGCGCTTGAGCTCTCATAGTGACCAACAATCAAATGTCTTTTCTAGTTCTTTTCTTCCTCTTCTTTTTTTTCGTCCCTCCCATTTCCTCCGTCAAGCTCTCAGAGTCTCTTTCACCACATGGGCGTCATCTCCAATTGAATCTGTCTCAACAGCATCAAGGTTCCCTTCCTGCCCTGTGGTTGGATTTTTCTCTTTTTGACCTCTTGTTCTTCTAGAGATTGCTAGAGAAATACGAAACGTGTACACAATATTAATGATCAAATTGCCAAAAAAGGCAATTAAAGTTTACAAATTGAGATCTGTCTTTTTGTCCATTCAAGGGTCTATATGAACACAATTAAAAGTTATTGGACGTAATTGGATGCTAATTTTCTACAGGGACCAGTTGAAATAATTTTAATAGTAAGAGAACTTATGTAGGCTTTTGGCCATTGTGTAAGTTTCATAGTATTTCTTTCCTTCAATTTATATATGCTGCTGACTGTATCCCTGCTTACAGTCACAGTTAGAAGTTCTTTTTTTCGAGAGACCTCAATTGACTATAATGATGAGTGAACAAAGGTGTATGATGCCACTGAGGACACCTTGGTTGAATCCCTCTATTTTATATGTGCAGGAAGTCTTTAGGATAGTGTCATGCACCACATTTATTGGAAAATTCACCTTAATTTACCATTGGGCATTTAAACCCAGCCAGCTGGTTGATTGATTTTTGGATGCACCTTTGAAAGCACCCTTACGCTTGAAATTGTTGACCTTGTAAATAAGATCTTGATTTTTATTAGTCTAACAGTCTAGAACTTATTATTATTATTACTTTTTTGTGAAGAAGAATTTTATTTATTTGATATTATGGTTCTGAACCTGAAAGGCTTGGTACCTCAAAAGGCACTATAGAATTTTGTGCTACTTTGGTTTAATGTTTCTGGACAAAGTTCTCTTTTGCAGAAATACTGAACAGCTCTTTAAATTGCTTTTGCAGGGAGAAATCTTAGTGTGCTTCACAACAGTTGCTAAAAGTAGTTCTTCACATCCATGGGCCATACGTGTTGGCAAATTAAGAATTCTCTGGTGAGAGAGGTTATTTCTGATCTCTACAATTTGTTTCTATCCTTTATATTATTGCATTTGACTTGTTCTTGTATCGCTGCGAAGTTGCCTGAGATACAGGCTTAAGGGGTGTTAACGAAATCCTGTGATGTAAAACTCTTAGCATTAATAAGGCTACATACGATATTGATAGAGTTCGAAAGTCAGAAGAAGAGTTTGTGACTCTTATAATATGAGATTCTTCGTGAAATTTGATTGTTCGAGTTTGAATACTATTTGGGTGCTTCTAAAATATTAATTTTTTTGAAAATAAAACTTACTTGATATTCACTTATTGATCAAAATAACATAAAATTATCAAATAGACTTGTCATCGCTTGAACTAAAATCATTATATTAGTAGATCAGTTTATTATTTTGTAAGACTCTTAGTTGCAGTTGCTTAGTTAATTCTGGCAACCTTTGCACTTCTATGCATTCTGGTAGGCAAGACTGTCTTTGGGTGCATTTATTTTTTCTTTCTTATTATAATTTTAAGTTATGTGGTTTATTCTATATGATTCAGTTTATAAATTTTTTTGATACTTTATATTTTAAATACAAAAATATAAAATTTTAAGATTAAATAAATTAAAATTAAAAATATATTATGTTATCTGTTGATTTAAATATGACACATGTACAAATTACGAGTAACATATTAAAATTATCAGTTTAAAAGTATTAAATTATATATTTATAATATATCGTGCTTTATATTTATTTTTTATCATATTTTATGAATAAAATGAATTATATATTTATAATACATCATTATTGTTTTCTTATCATATTTTATAAATAAAGTATAATTAAAGAAATAAGTTATTGAAAGTTTATATAGTGATTACTAAATTATATTTTTATATTTAAAAATTTTAAATAAATAATTATTACATATTATTAAGTTAATATTTATTTTTTAAAATATAAATTGATAATAATATTTAAAATTTTATTTTATAATAAAATATGGAATTATAATTAATTTTAACATATTATTTTTAATTTTATTTTAAAGAAATAAAAAAATCATCTCATATTTATTGTCATAAATATATATATATATATAATAGATTATACTATTGGATTGAAGTGTAATAAAAAATCACAAAATTAAAATTGTGAAAGGATAAAAATCCCATGAGGTGAAAACCGTAAATCACTCCAATTATCCATTTGCAAAGATTTCGAAAGAATGTGAAAGCTTGTATAAAGCTATATATTTATATTTATATGAGTTTTATTTACAATTTATCACGTCATATATAACGTGTATATGACGACATAAGTAGATGTTGATGTTGATCTTAAGACAATGAAGGGCGGATGGCCATGTAAATCAGTCAACACTTTTCGTGGCTCAAAGGTAGTTTAAGGTTTGAGTGGTGATGACACCAACCGGCACCATGGGATGTGATGTTACAGCGCGTCGGCAGAACCTGGTAGAAGCCGAGGTAAGTGGCCAACCTTATTATTACATCATAGTTTATCGCACCTTAATAATTACCCTCCCAGTACATGTGGAATTCAATATTCTATATTTCACAGTCAATTGGATTATAGTTTAAAAATAAATAACCTTTAACTAATTAAAAATTAAAATTTTATTTTATATTCTAAAATTTTAAAATAAATAATTATTATATATATTATCATGTTAATTTTATTTTTATATTATGAAATTTGAGCGGATAATATTTAAATTTTATGTTTAAATACTACAAATATTTAAAGAAATTGTAAATAAGAAAATCCTCTCTTAAGATTTCTTCCATCTTCAAACCTTAATCTAATTCTAATTACTCTTTTTGGATTTATGTTGTGACTACTTAAGGGCTTGAAGATCATCCCCATATTTACTATTGGAAATAATTATTTATTTTTGTGTACTTAATAGATGAATAAATATAACGTTTTCCCATTCACGGGAGAGGAATCACATTGTGTCACACTACAATTTTGGTCACTAATCTCTCTCTCTCTCTAGACTTATATCTATATATGTATGTATACAGTTTCAACTCTTCTTGTCGATCATGGAGAAGATGAACTACCCCAAAGAGAAAATTTAATAATTAGCGAAAAATATTAGTGTATTAATTAATTTATGGATAATAATTTTGTAAAGATAGTGACTTGCTATTAGAAACTAGGTAGTTGCTTTAATCAATCTCTCTATGTAAAACAGGAGATCAAGACTAGAAATTGATGGTCCAAATGACAGATCCTGCGACTTCAAACAAGGGTGATTGATGGGTGACATCAAACCCACCAATAAAATCCAATTTTAAGCAATAAATTAATATAGCCTACCCTCTTTTCCTTTATTAATTTTTCACTAAATAAAAAAAAAAAAATTGTGGTAATTTACAGAATAATTTAAAAAATTGTATGGAAATACTCAGAATTTCTAATTTAATAAAAATATCAATCATCCAATTAATTAAAAAAATGAATTTCTATCTGAAAAATTAGGTGTATTAATGAAAATGTTAAGTATGATAGCAGTTATTCCTTTTATTTCTTCTTCATTTTTTTTTTTTTCCTACCAAAAAAGCAAAATGGATTTAGTCATCCATGAATTGATTAACAAGTCTCCTATAAGTATATATAATAAACAATCCACCAAAAAGAAAGAGATCGTTATTAGTTCACCTAAAACCCAAATAGTACAGCAAATAGTACATCCTATATATATTTATATGTACGCAGTTTGACCTCTCTTGCTCTTAGATGTAGCATAAATGAATTACATTAACAATGGCGCCATAGATGTGTCTCACTTACTCCTCGTAGAGGATAGCGCCGACTCAGATGCAGATCATGGGTTGATGTTCAAACAATGTCCGAGTTGCGAAAAAATTGCAGCAGACGAGATTGATGACGCCGAGTCTTGTAGCGCTTATGAAGGAAGCGAAGACACAATGATATTTAGTAGAGAAGAATACGAAGACAAACACAAAGACGAAAACGAAATGTGTGATAATCAGAAGTGGAGTATAAAGAGAGGAGATGATACAGAAGATGAAGATGATGAAGGAGATGAATCAAGGTTTGGTGTGAATAGTAATAATAAAAATATACTTAGCAGGGAGGTGGTGGACAAGATGGAGGACAGGCTCTTTTGGGAGATTTGCATTGCAGTAGGATACCCTTAATTTCTCCTTGTTAATTTTTCTATCAATCATCTCTGATTTCTATCTTCTTTTTCTCAAAAAAAAAAAAAAAAAATCTGTTCTTGATTTTTATTTTTTTCAAAAAGATTAAAAATTCACGAGAACAAGTATAATTAAAAAAAAAGGAGTGTGAACATATGTTAATGTGCTTGTGTGATTTCATAAAATTATATATGCTTGCTGTTTAATTTTCTTTAGACGAAACGAAAGTAAAATTATGTATCTTGTTGTTATCAAATGAAATGTATTATTTAAATATCATTACCAATGTGGGATATGAAGGATCTCTACCATGTAACTATAATCACTAGAACAAGAAAAAACAATTAAGGATATAAAATATTTGTTAGGGAAATTAATCCTTAAACTGCGGACATTCACAACAAAATATAATAAATAGAAAAAATATGAAATTTAATGTAATTAAGTAGAATATTTATATTTACGATAAGATCGACAATAAATATTTTCTATAGATCGACAATAAATGTATCATCATTCTCTATAGATCATATACTCTTAAATAGAGAAATTATTAGAGTTTTCATCTTAAGAAACTTTTCAGAATATACAAAAAATACTTTTTAAGATATCCTTAAAATTAAAACCACATTGACAATATTTAAAGGTTCAAATTTTTTAGAATATGCTAATTGATGGTTTTGGGCCGCATGCATGAGCTTTCCTAATTTCAGACCTAACACTATTTAATTCCCCAAGCTTAATTTAGGGTTGGGGCGGGAGGGGGGTGGAATTAGGTGCGAAAACACTTGTAATGGTGAGTTAGAAACCAAGCCAATTAGTGTTGTATAAAAATTATTTGGAGAAAAATTGAAACTGTTAAGGCAGATTGCTTGAAGAGAGTGCTTAGGGTTGACTACACCTTTATAAATTTGCATTCTTTTACTTATTTTTTTCATTTTCATTTGATTTTGTGAGAGATTAAGTTGTGTCATCCTTGATATATTTATGATATAATTGTATATTATCTCTTTTACTAAAGTATAATGCAAGCTCAGTTTACAATTCCCGACTAACATGTGTGTAGTAACTTCAGAAAATATTTATATTAATAAATATATGTTAAACAGGTACAAAGCACCTGGAATGTTGACCATAACTTTAGAAAATAGAGTCAACTCAGCTGTGTATATATATATATATATGTATGATGAATATTGATTATAATATTTCTTATTATATATTCTTTTATTTTTTAAGTGAAGTGTATCACTGTAAATTTATAATAAATGATGGTAAATAATTATATATTTATGTATAAAAATACGTATTATATAACGTAAGCCTAAAAAACTGTTTGTTCTATTGAACATTATATATTCTAATATTGCATTTCGGAAGCTGATACTGTATTTGAGGGAAAAGGCTGGTCTTTGAAGGATTACATAACATATATATTTATGTAAAAGTAAGCATGTAAGTGCTGGCAGCTAGTATTCCTATCTATATATGTAAGACAGAAACTCTTGCTTAATTTTCTTCTTGAAGAAAATTCTTTTCTGAACTTTTGTGTAATACATTATGGGGGTGCACGTTTAATGTATCACTTTAAATAATCAAGCATCTAGCTAGTTGCTAAATATTAATAATGAAGTACAAAGTCAACCAATTGAAATTCAAGTAAGATGGATGAACTTTTGTTTCTCCTTTATATTTGAATAGCTAAGTTCATGCATATTTCAACTAATATATATCAATAATTAATTTGCAGTGAACCTAGTATACAGTTGACAAACATGATCATTCTTCTATCATTAGATAAGAGATATGTAGCTTAGAGAAATTTCCTCTGTCATGGTGTTTAATTATTTTCTAATATATATTATACTTCCAATTAAGCTCCAAGATTCAGGACACAGTGTACGTAAGACATTGCTATATAAAGTGCTTCTTGGGTGGTTTGTTCCTCACTCAAGAAAGTACACAAGACAGATTTTCTGCATTGTGTGTGTATATATATATATATATATATATATATTTTCTGCTTTGGGTGGAAATTAAAGAGAGAGATCACAATGAGGTCAAGCTTTGTAATTGTGTTATTTGTCTCTGTTTTAGAGCTTTATATTCCTGAAATGGGCGTAAATCCGAATTCATAAGCGGCCGAATTGGTCATGGCAAGGGCGAGCTAAGGATGATGTTCTATCACAAGACTTGTCCTCAGGTTGAGGAGGTTGTGAAGGGATATTACATGGAGTAAAGTTGAGAATAATCCAAGCATGGCAGCTAAGCTACTGAGGCTGCAATACCATGACTGTTTTGTTAGGGTATGTTCCCTTTTAAATCCTTCTAATCTCTTCAAATTATATATGTAAGAATATATATATAAGTATATTTTGTTGATCCACAAGTGTTAATCCAGTTGGTAAAGAATGTTCTACATATTTGATCAATTTATATTAATGTATGGAAGTATTGATCCTAGCAGCACCATCTGATGGGTCCATGGGAGTACATTCTTAATTAAAACTACCAAGAGAAGAACATAGTTTTGGCATGTAGAAGCTGGTTCAAAAGTATTCATACTGCTAGAACAGTACACACACACACGAAAGATACAATATTATTTTGTTAGGCTATGTTTCGCTTGTTTTAACATCAAAAGTTTTTTAGCTTTCTAATCATGATTACTGACTGTCTTATGTGCGTTAATTAGCCAAAAAAATCAATTGTTTCACAGTATACGCGTTCTTGCAGGGATGTGATGCATCCATATTATTGGATTCAACTAGCGGTAACACATCTGAGAAAGATGCAAGACCAAATCTCTCGTTATCCGGTTACGAGGTCATTGATGACATAAAAGCTAAACTAGAACAGGAATGTCCCAAAACCGTGTCGTGTGCTGATATCGTTGCCTTGGCAGCTCGTGATGCTGTTTCATTTCAAGTAAGATACGGCCAATTATTAACTTTTGATGCTTATGGCAGTGGCACTGGTCTCTAACATGCATGAATATGTGAACTTATATATGTGTGCGTATGTATATATGCAGTTTAAAAGATCGCTATGGAATGTTGTGACTGGGAGGCAAGATGGAAGAGTTTCACTTGCCTCAGAGGCTGTAAGAGATTTACCATCTGCAGGAGCAAACTTCACCACTCTCCAACAGCAATTTGCAGCTAATGGCCTTGATGTCACAGACCTTGTTGCTTTATCAGGTATTCTTTATTTTATTATATTATGATTTTTTAATGTTAATTTAGACCTAATTTCGATTACTCTTTAAAAAAATATATTGTTTTTAAATAAAAATATATAAATAAGATAATACATAATCATAATATAACTTTTCAATAAGAATTCAGGTAATGTATAATCTAATTCAAACCTATAAATTCATATGAAGAAATCGTGATGAGATATAAATTTAATTTGTATAGGAGCGCATACAATTGGAGGTGCACGTTGTGCTTTGCGAGGAGACTATTCAATTTCAGTGGAAAAGATGATATTGATCCTTCATTGAATTCAGACTATGCAAATTTCTTGATAAGAAAATGTTCTGATCGGACGGCGTTGGTGGAAATGGATCCCGGAAGTTCGCTATTGTTTGATACCGATTACTTCAAGGCAGTTAAGCAGAACAAAGGATTGTTTATGTCAGATGCAGCTCTCCTCACTAATCCTCGTTCGGCTTTCATCGTTAAGCTTTTCCAAAATCCTCTACTTTTCTTTTCCCAGTTTGGAGCTTCAATGCAGAAAATGGGTCAAATTAAAGGAGATGATTCTGATGGGGTGAGATTAGGAGGAGTTATCGCTTTGTTAATTAATTAGTTATATATTATATATTAAATTTTTGTGTGTATCTTTTTTTAAAAAAAAAAAAATTATTTTTATTATATTGTCATTGTTTTATATATATGTATATTATTTAATTAATAAATATATAAATTTATTATATATTATACATACATATATATTTTAAAAAATTCATATTTATATTTTAAATTGAATTGAATTAAATTTATAACATTGTTCTATAATATAAAAATTCATGTCTATATATTCATATATTGTTTCTAAAAAAATTATTTTGGTCTAATAAGATATATAATGATATGACATTACTAATAAATTAATAAAAATTTAAGTTGGTCAATAAAATTTGTGAAATGAATTTTTAAAAAAGTTATTAATGAAGGTTTGAATCGTATAACTACATACCTCTTCTTCTGTAAAATAATTTTTTGGTTTTAAAAATGTTTTAAATTATTAAAAATATATAATAATATTTTTTTAAGGTTATCATATATAAAAATTTTAGTCGAGAAGGATAATTTAAATTTAATTGAGGTTCGTGCTCAAAATTCATGACAGGGAAAAGAAAAATAATGTTGAAAATTCAGAAAACGAAGCAGTACTTATCTCGGCGACGGAAATTCCGGTTCGCGGTTAAGACAAAGTTTTCCCGCGATCCAAACAGAATCATGTACCGTTGTTAGTTTACGCAATATTTGTCCTGACACGCTTCGCAATTACTGAATTGCCCCTTGCCCTTTCCATTTTGACTTTCCCCAATTTTCCCTCCCTCCCGTCACTGCGTTTTTCTCCTGCCTCTTCGTCTCTTGAACACGCCATCAATGGCAAACGATCAAAAAAAAGACGACGTCAAAGTAAGATTTTATTTTGTCTAAATTAATTTTTAAATTATATTATTTATAAATATTTCCATTTTTTTTATGGATTCATGGGTTATTAATCACTAATTAATTATAATAAAAAAATTATACCCACATATATACAATCACTCCTCCTCCTACATCTGTTTTCTTTTTTTTTTTTTTTTCTGAACAACTTCTTCCATCTGTTATTCTTCTAGAACAATTAATTCATGCATATATATATATATATATATATCAACCGCTATATATCGATATTGAATTCTGCAAATCTCAGTAGGGTTCTGAAATAATTCAAATATTAATGCTCACAACAGGATGACTTCTCGATTGCAGATTTCTTTGTGCAAATTTTTTGCAGTCGCCAACTTTTCGTAGTTGCAGATTTATGATTATCTTACAACGCATATTTGTCCATGACATGCATGTATATAGATACGTATATATGTATATATAATATTACAATCCCTCATATTAGTTTTTTTCTCGTATATTCGCACAGATTGTAAACGTTGAATTCAAAGTCTCAATGTACTGCAACGCGTGTGAAAGAACCGTTGCGAGAGTTATTTCCAAGATAAAAGGTTTTATATATTTAACTTCTTTCTTTCTGTAATTACATAATTAGGAGAATTTATTAATTAACTGTTTATATATATACATATAAATATATTGTAGGGGTTGAGACGTTTACAACGGACATGAACAAGCAGAGAGTGACAGTGAAGGGGAGAATTGATGCAGAGAAAGTGTTGAAGAAACTGAGGAAGAAGACGGGGAAGAAAGTGGAAATAGTGATTAACAATAATAATAATAATAACAGGAAAGATAAGAAAAAAGATGGTGGAGAAAATGAGACAGTGCTGATATTCGAAGGAGGAGACTGCAAAGTAATTAGAAATGATCCATTGTTGTTTAGTTGTTGGAAACAAAGTGATCAGGCATTGATGATGTTTAGTGATGAGAATCCAAATGCAGTATGCTCTATTATGTAGGAATATACATACATACATATATATATATATTTAGTACTATATGTTTTTGTTAAATTTTGAATTGTGGGTATGCATTTATCTTTCATCTCTTCCAAATTCTTTGGTATAAACAATTACTACAACATTTCTTAATGAAAATTTGTACATTTTATTTATCAAATAATATATAAATATCAATTATAACACAATATTTACATAAAAAAATACATAATTTAATTAAATATCAATTTATACATAAAATTATTGTTTATTTTAATTAATTTATAATTTTAATAGTAAGCCATTTAATAAATTTTTAAATAAAATACGAACATGACACTAATTTTAATAAAAATGTCACCTGATTATTTTTAGTTGAATAAATTTTTATATTAACATATTGTCTAATTTTAATATTAATAAAAAATTAAAAATAAAAAATAAAATGCAGTTTCATGGCGGAGAAAAAATTATGTGACCCATCGCCATTGAAGACATAATGAAGCTCTTCGAGATCGAAGCATGGCCGATGCTAGAAATCAAGAAGGAAAAGGAGGCGCATGAGACCTAGTTCTCCCTATAAGAAGTTGAGGAGCATCTGAATTCTGATATAGAGGTTGCCATGGACGAGTTCAGATAATTTATCGAAGATTTAGATTCAGATGATACGTAGTATTTGATCTTTATATTATTTATGTTAGAATATAATAAATGTAAAATTTAAATTTATGTAACGTTTTAATTAATAATTTAATATTTTTATTAAATAATTTGTAGATATAAAAATTTTGTTATTTGCATGCAAATAAAATGATTTAAACATATTATTTTTGTAACGATAATTTGTATATATAAACTTTAGGATTGATTGATCTAAAACATATTATTTTTATAATGATAACTTACCCTTTGGAAACATCAAGAACAATCTTTTCCACAAATCACTCTTTAGCATGCACATAATTTCACTTTGTAAGTTCTCAATATTCATACCAATTCTGTAACGGCCCCGGAAATTTTAAAATGAAATATGTGTATTAAAAATATCAAATGTGGAAGCGAAGTCAAAAATTTTGATTAACATCCCTTACACTAAAACAAAAAACATACTCACAAAATATAAAAGATCAAACTAACTAAATGAGAAACTCGAAAGTAAAAGCTATGAATATGACTATGGAGTCTTTAGGCGTCCCCTTCGTTGTCCTCCTGCGGAACGGGCTCGGGAACAATGTCTTCCTGATCTGAAATGATTAAATAAGGAATGAGCTACACTAGCCCAGTAAAAACATCACGATATCTCACCGTCACGGAGGTAAAAGTGGGTAGAAAACACAAAAAGACCAATGGAGCATAATTTACAACAAATCCTTTTATCCATAATAAATCCTTTACCATCCACTTACCTCGGTGAAATTCATAAAACAATATACGAAAGCAATAACATTATCATCATCATGAAATCATATAAACTGTACAACATAATACTTATCACGCCTTTTGTAATTCAATCATTACACAACATATTTTCCTCATTTACCAGCCCACTAGTATCCATGGGGATCCATAGGGGTCCCGCTACCCGTTAACCCTTAACACTTGAAATCAGATTCCAGGGCCGTCCCCATACCCCGTCCGGTATGGGCGCCAAAACTATAGACCTCATTACCCCGTCCGGTATGAGGGTGAAACGGGCCGTCCCCATACCCCGTCCGGTATGAGCGCCAAAACATATATGGTCTCCATACCCCATCCGGTATGAGAGACCACAATCCCGGTAGGGTTCCCTACGGACCCGGTCCGTTCACCATCTCCCAGGATATCTAGTCAGGCTGACCACATTATACAATTATCAATTTACATAATCTTTCATTCTCCTTTTCCTCAGTCAGCATCATCAATTTACATACAAACAAGCAAACAGTAATTTTATGCCAAACAAGACAACATATAGCATCGGTTTCTCAGTCATTCAACCCATAATCAATAAAACAGTAAAATATGCACGCGAAACAATGAAATAAAAACATCAGACCTCATACTGCATTTAAAACTGTAAAATATGCCAAATAACAGTTAACCGACAAACACACTAGACTCGGGCTCCATTAGCGACCTTAAGCAATTTCACACATTCGTTGATTCAAGAAATACCGCTTTATCATTTTTGAACTTTAATACCGTGATAGGAAATAGGGTGAGGGGTCCTTACTCGTTTCGGGGCTCCGAAACACGGCTTCACAGTGCGCCTACAGACTGTCCCTAATTTTCCTTGAAATTTTTCCGGGGAACTGAAACGCACTACTGGTACCTGCACGTGTTCCAAAAAATCGCAAATTAGGCCCAGGGCCCCTTTTTGGCCAATATCGCAATTCCGACACGGCGGCTCCGCCGTGCTCCGGCGACGGCGCCGCCGCAAGCGGCGGCGATTAGCCTCGGTTTGGCCGTTTTTGGCCGTTTTCGGTCGAATTCGGCCACACTTGCATCGGTCCTTGCGATAAAACAACCCTAGGGCCCTCAGGGGGCCAAAAAATTACGAAAAACCGAAGCTTACCGGCGGCGGTGCTCTCGGGTGCGGCGGCTCTCCGGTGAGGCGAAGTTTTGGTGATTCGGCTCCGATCAACCTGTAGAGAAAAGAATGGTGATCACGGTGATATAAAAATTGCATCAAACGGAGGCCGGGAAGGGCCTCATCGGAGGCAAAAATCGAGGAGGGGCGCGGCGGTGCCGCTGGGTTTCGGCCGTTTGGCTGGGATTTTGGCTCCGATTTGGCCACAGGGGAAATCAGCGTGGAAAAATGAGTCGGGGGTATGAAATTTACCTCGATCGGCGGTCGGAAATCTCCCCAGTGCGGCGGCGGGCTTCTCTGGCGTCTGGTTCGTCTTCTCCGGCGAGGGCAAGCGGCTAGGGTTTTTGTGGTCAGGTGTGGGGGTTCTATTTATACCCTTTTGCCTTTTGATCTCAGCCGTCCATTTTGATTTAATCTGGGCCGTCCGTTTTTGATTGAATCTGGGGCGTCCGTGCGATTGCATCTGGGCCGTCCGATCGCGCATACGCGGATTGCCAACGTGGCCCGTCCCTGGTCGACGTAGTTTTGCCACGTGGCAGGTCCTGGTTAGCCAGGACTGCTGACTGGGTCTACTGATGTGGCTGCTGATTGGGTCTGCTGACGTGGCGCTCTTTTTTAAAAAAAAATTAATAAAAATATTTAATAATAAAATAATAAATTTTTTCAAATTTTTCGTGCGTTACAAATTCGTTTTCACACACACATATATATATATATACACATACACATATATATATATAGATATGAGTGTATATATGTATGTGATTTGCCCTACCACCCTCTTGGAATGCATTGAACCAATCAACTTTTCAATAACAAAGCCCAATGACAAGTGTAGAACTTCTCAATTATAATGGACTACTCTCTCTCTCTCTCTCTCTCTCTCTCTACATATATATATATATATTCACACACACAGATATATGTATATTATAAATAATAATGGGGAATGCGGTAGCAAGGTGACTTAATGAGGAATGGCCACCCCATATATATATATGTTGTGGACAGTGGCCGAGGCAGACGTGTCAATGAGAGAGTTAACAGAAGAAGAATCTAAAGAAACTGGGTGACCTAACTTTTTAGATATAAAAAGCATTAGGCACTGATTTTGTGTTGCCAACAAACACGGCTCTCCCATGAATTGCTGTCCCTTTCTTCATTATTATATATACATATATATATATATATATAATTGATGTTGCAGTAGCAATTAACAGTAACCCAAAAAGTTCATATAGATATTTTGTCGTGTGCCAAGTGTGTGATGTATCAAGAGGTATGATGCCATGTGAGGCACAAACTCTGAATGAAAATACAATTTAACTCAAACTCATTTTAAATTATAAATTTTGAATAAAAATAAATCAAGATCGTATAGTTTAACTCGAACTTATTTTGAAATAAAAAAATATAAATCATTCGATTATAATTTACTTTTTTTTTAATTAAAAAATACAAAAAACAGTAATTTTATATCATTTTACTTCAAAATCATCCCACACAAAACTGGAAAAACGATTCTATAACTATCTCAATCTGTGAGCCAGGGAATCATAATACACCATGAAAATATATTTGAAATCTCATTATTTATAATCAACATGAGACTAAAGTTTGGTGCACTGGCACTACAGCATTTTGTTTTCTACAAGAAAGATAGGAATGAAGGATTTATTCTTCTGATATTTCTCTATGTACAAAACTACAGAGTTTTTTTCTTCAGGATTCCTCTATGACATGATCTCCAAAGCCTCCCTCGTTTGTCCAACTACATTGAACACTGTCGCGGCAATGTGAGACGGGGTTAAGCCTGCTTCGGTCAACTGATCAGCAGGGGATCCATGATCAATGTATCGATCAGGAAGAACAAGTGGTCTCCACTGCACAGGAAATTTCAGTCAAAAGTAAGTCTCCCTGCAACTAAATCTTCACAGTTGGGAGAATAAATGGTTCTGAAACATATTAAGGTTAAATAGATCTCAACAGAAATTCAGTTGAATGTCCAGAACTTTCAAAGTCAAATAAGCACATTCAGTATTTAAATTTGCATAAGAAATAATGCCGATGTACTTTCAACCTGGTTAATTTGTACACAAAAGAGGATATTAGAATACAAATAGTGATTGATTGGACTTTTCCTATTAATTCAGGCTTCAATTTAGTGGATCAAAATCAATTATTCCATGCTAAACATATCCATATGTTTGGAGTTAAGTTGAACTGGAACCTCGAGAGTTAAAACAAGATTTAGATTTATACCTTCACCGTGCCATCAAGAAGACCATTAAGCGCTAGGAATTGAGCAACATGGGACCCAAAGCCTCCAATTGACCCCTCTTCCACTGTAATTAAAAACTCATGTGATTTTGCTAGGCTGCAGATAAGGGCATGATCCAGCGGCTTGCAGAATCGAGCATCTGCTACTGTTATCTGTAAGCCACTTTGTTTGAGTAATGAGGCAGCAGCTAGACAGCTCTGAACTGCTGTCCCATAACCCAAGAGTGCCACTCTCTCCCCTTGAATCAGCAGTCTGCCTCTTCCAATCTATACAAAAGGTATCCAAAGTTTTTTCATATATTGTTATCCTTCCATTATTTTAAAATGTGGGTTGTGAAATCAAACCTCAAGGGGAGTGCCTTTGTTTCCCGGTGGTAGCTCAACACCAACTCCATTTCCTCTTGGATACCGGAAACAGCTGGGGCGGTCATCAATGGCAGCAGCAGTAGCAACCATGTGAAAAAGCTCTGCCTCATCCGAAGGAGCCATAACCACCATGTTTGGGAGACATGCCATAAATGTGACATCAAATGCACCACAATGGGTTGGACCATCTGCCCCAACTAACCCAGCTCTGTCCATTGCAAATCTTACAGGCAATTTTTGCAAATCCACGTCATGTACTACCTGCAGCAGCCATGCAGAGAAGAACTTGTATTAGCATCCAACATGCAGCAGCAACCAAAACATGATCTCCCCCCCCATTTTAATGTTTGTTCCAAACAAATGATGTTTGAGAAGAAGTCACCGCGAGTGTCATAAAAAGTATTAAGCGTGCACAATAACGAATTGAGTAAATAAACGATTAAGAAAAGTATTTCACAGTTTAATTGAAAGACTAATTTGTTGTTTCTAAAGAATAACAGACCTAGTTTTAGTTTACCTTATGTAAAATTTCTTTAACTAAACATAGTAGTTAGTAGGATCGTTGATCCAAGAAAACAAGGTAAATACTGGGAGAGGTATTTGATAATAAAAGAAGAGAACCACAGCATAAATTTAAAGTACTAGAGCTCTAGCTTGCCTGGTCATAAGCCCTCTGCATGAAAGATGAGTAGATTGCACAAAAAGGTTTAAGGCCTTCACAGGCCAGACCTGCAGCGAAGGTAACTGCATGCTGTTCTGCTATACCAACATCAAAACATCTTGTAGGGAAACGTCGAAGGAACATATTCAATCCCGTTCCACCTCCCATTGCAGCATGGATGGCAACAATATCCTTGTCTGCCTCTGCTTCTGCAATCAAAGCCTCAGCAAAATATGTTGTATAAGCCTGAGTTTTAGCACTGCCTTTGAACTGCTTCCCAGTTGCTGGGTCAAACTTTGCCACTCCTGCAACAACAATAAACCCAAAGATCATTTAGTTCTCTTCTGCACGTTTTACAAATTCAGACTCAATGAAAATATGATTCACCGTATGTGGAGCTTCATGAGACATCAAATAAAAAGTATCTCAAGAATGTCATAGATACAAATTTCAAATCCCAAAAAGTCTACCATGCAAATAATTTTGTTAACAGGTTGAATCTATAATCTATTTACCGTGATATTTGTCAGCTGCCCTCTCTGCATATGGATATCCTCGGCCTTTCTCAGTGACAACATGGATTAGGACTGGACCAGTTGTTTTGGTGCTCTTAACCTCTTGGAGAATGGAAACAAGATCATCCATATTGTGACCATCAACAGGACCAATATAATAGAGACCAAGCTCTTCAAACAATGTTGACCCAGAACCGCTGATCATCCCACGAGCATACTCATCAACCTTTGCAGCCAGTTCATGCATTGATCCACCAAGTTGTTTTGTGACACCCTAATAATGACCGAACCACTTTCATTTTAGTCATATTGCATGAAATATTTAACTGTCTATTTATGCTACTATATGTTTTTCTTACTTACCTTGGCTACCTCCCTCAGTTCTCTCAGTGGCCTGTTTGACTGTAACCTACTAAGAGCACTGCTTAAAGCTCCTACAGGGGGTATAGGGCCATCCAGAGTCGCAGTGGGTAAAGATACTTGCTTGTTGTCATTAAGAATAACAATCATGTCCGAATCTAGGTACCCAGCATTATTCATGGCCTCATAAGCTTGGCCTGCTGTCATGGCACCATCACCTATCACAGTAATTACATTATTCTTTCTTCCTTTTAGATCCCTCCCTACAGCCATCCCTGTTCACCACATAAAAGAATTACATCCCACTAATCAGTTCGAGCAGAGAGCTACTTTTTATCATAACAAACCGTTACCATATTGATTAATACACTTTTTGATAGCAGAATCAAGAATCTTATGATTGTCATTTATGATCAATAATATAAGAGAAGTCATTGCTATCATATAAAAATCCTAAAAAGCTGGGCTAGATTCAAATTCTATTATCCCATATCATACAGAATCAAAAAAGTAAAAAGAAAGATTCCTTTTAATGAATAAATAATATCTAAATAAACCGTTTGAGCTCCTAGAGATATTGGATCTACCTACATGTTTGCAACACTCAACCAGCGCGAATCCAAGTTATTTTTGGTTAACTTTAAATTTGTAATAAGTTGATTAGGCATATGTTTCACCACAAATATGAAAAATGAACACCCTCATATTACCCAAGCCGGCAGAGATACTGGTAGAGCTGTGACCAGTGCCAAAGCAATCGTATTCACTTTCTGCCCGTTTGGTAAATCCTGCCAACCCATCGGTCTGCCTCATTGTATGCATCTTATCTCTTCTTCCCGTCAAGATCTTATGTGGGTAAGACTGAAAAGCAATGAACTATACCCATTAGAAAAAACTGTTCTCACAATATTGCCTCCCTGTTACTGGATATATATATATATATATATGTATATATGTAGACATGTATCTTTAGCTAATTACAGCAACAGAAGAAATGGGAAGATTAACCTGATGACCAACATCCCAAAGTATCCTGTCTTGAGGAGCACTGAAGACATAATGGAGAGCCACAGTTAGCTCAACAACACCAAGGCTTGATCCCAGGTGACCTCCAGTTTTTGATACGTTAAAAATTACATCAGACCTCAGCTCATCTACAAGTTGTTTTAGCTCCTGCATTGATTATTTTTAGATGTAGTCAATAGTACAAATACGTTACATGTATAAATAGTAGACTGGATCCAGTCAGCAACTTTTAGAATAATTGACTACAATCAATTATTTAATACTTCTAAGAAACAGAAGTCTACCGTGCAATTATAGTCTACATCCCAAATTTCTATTAATTAATTTCAATACAAGTTAGGGTGAGAGTCAATGCTTTATCCCCACATTTAGTCTAGCTTCCACACATTTGGATAATTGACTACAGTCAAATATTTAACAAAAGAAGCCTTCAAAACAGCAAGTAAAGTAAAATGAGTACCTTGATAGACAGATTCTTCATATGAATTGGATAGTTTATGGTGTCCAACAGAGGTGTTGCAGGTCTCTGTGAATGATACTCTCCCTTCTCTGAAAGTGATGAACGAACCCCACCTGCTTGTCTTCTTTTCACCTGTAAAAAATCAGAAGCAAAAATCCATTTCTTTATATGATAAAAACAATTTCAACTCGTAAAAATAAACCCCCAAAAAAAAACTTCACAGCAGAAAACGAAAACATCCTAGATACGATAATTTCACACACAGAAGAAGTTCATACCCAACTAGAACTCCTAAAAATGGCCGAAACCCACTGATCTCAAACTCATTTAGTGACAGGGGCGTGGGCGTTCATTTATTTCGAGTAATGAGCCTGTTTTCATTTATTAAACCGATAAGATATACACGTAAGCTAACCTGCTTGTGCTTCAGCGGAGGCACGCATGGCAGATCCGGAGCTGACAACAAATGAGAAGACAGAGAAGTGGACTCCTGAGGATCAGAAATTGTTGCTCGGCTGATATAGGCAGGAAATGAGAAAGCACAGAGCGCCATGGCAGAAACCAACAACAACAAAAACAAGGCCAAGAAGAACGAGTAGCGCTCAAAACAAGAACAACGCAGAAAATTTTAGAGAGTCTAGATTGCAATAATGCAGAAGATTAACAGAAAGGTTTCTCCTTTTTTTTTCCCACAGTGAAGTAATAGAAGAGATGATGGTGGAAAAGACAGAGACGAATAATAAATAAAACAGAAATAAATTTAAAAGAAGAAGAAGAAAGGGTATGTGGTGAGCGCACAAGCACTCTGCAAATTCAAAACCAAGGTGGACCCTATAGTATTTTTGAGAGTGAAGCTCAGAATTCATTGATTTGAAATCATTATATAGACTTCACACTACAGAACACGAAAGTGGCAGACTGGCATATCGCTCTTCATTGGGCCACGTCAATGGAAATCACAGAAATGGATAGATAGAGAGATATTTGATATTGATATGACGTATATACATATAAAGTATTTAAAAACCTGAAATGGAAAAGTAATGGAGAAATACATGGTAAAGGGTAATATGGGAGCCGTGTGTTATTTTTCCTGTATATCTCGAAGGCATGGATGTGCCCTTCCATTTTCCTAATTGATTGGTATGATAGAGTCTTTTACTGATTTTGAAAGGGAGATAATCTTCTAATTTTAAAATTTGGCTGGTGGGATTGTTTTCTTTATGTGGTGACAGGAAATAGAAACAAAGGATTTGATTGTGGTAAAATTAAATTATTACTTTTAATGGGAAGATATTATTTTGTAATATGAATTCATTGTATTATAGTATTTCATTTTTGTTAATAACTTATTATAAATATAAGTGGTTAAAACAATTTATAGAGGATGATTTGTATTATGTGAACAATAGAAATATAATATGATTAATGTATTCTAGTTATATAAGATAATTTTTTTTTATCGGGAAAGTCTTTTTAATTAAAATTTATATATTTCATTAATTAAATAGCATATTAATATCATATAATACAATCTTTTAATAAGAATAATCGGAAACGTATAGTTCGAGTGAAACCATCAGTCTCTTATTAAAAGATGAAAGTAACAATCATTTTATTAAGGTATAATTTATTCATCGTCAAAGTCAAATTTTGCATAAAAGTAAACTTCATTTGTGTAATTTATTTTTAAGTTTTGTAGTATAGAAATGTTAGACCTTTAGGAAACAAATAATAGAATTAGTAGAATATCAAAATTTTTTATGTGTAAATTTTTTACTAGTCAAATTAATTGTCAAAACAAAGAAAAATAACTCAATCATAGAAAACTTATAGAAAAGAAAAAAAAAATAAGGAATCCTAAAATTATCAAAAGGAATCCTAGAATCGCATAAGAATTTTTTAAAAGGTTAATTATAGGTCACGTGGCAAGATGAGAGATTATCTTCTTGGCAAGATTCATCTAACGCGTTAAACAAGGAAACATGTTGCGGATGAGGAGAGATTCCTACTAATGAATACTACTCCTTCAAGATGTTAGTGACTTTAACATTATCTCAATGATTTGATAAGATCATTGTTTTTAAAGAGGTATCATGTTGATACAATTATCTAACCAATCAAGCATTCTATTTTACAAGTGGTATTAAGTTACTGATTTATTTAATGCTCTCTGATAGGATTTGTTGATATACAGAATTTCATTGGTGTAAGATAAGGCACAGGATTATTATCTTATCTTATGGTTCAAAACCTTTTTGTTAAAAAAATATTTAGTTAGTTTAGTTAAACGTAAAAACTGATTAAATCGGTATAATTGAACCGATTTATCAATTTGACGAATAAAATTAAAACTGAATATAATAAATAAGTTCGATAATCAATTACTTATTGAAAACCAAAGAAATGCTAGAAAATTCAAAACATTCTTTTCTATAATTTGTGAACATATATTAATTATATCAAACACAAAATAATATAATTAAAAAATAAAATCCACAAGATCCCATTTCAAATTTAAATCTAAATCCAATATTAATGTATAGCATTCCAACCATTCATTCAAATTCATTTGTTCTAAAATCGAAATCTAAATCAAAATCCATAAATTTCATACCATACATTTCAACCATAATCCATTATTCAATTTGTACCAAAATTCATACATTTCATAATCCAATCATTCAAACTCATCCAAATTCATATATAACATTTACATAATTTATACCATACATATAAAATAAGTTCTAATTAAATGTATTATACATCATACATGTGTGATCAAATATCAAAGTTCTAAACTTTGAAGTTCCAACTTCCACACATAATCCACATTTCAAAATTTTCAAATTAAAATTATACCTAAAAGCAACACAACCGTTATCAATTGATTCACTAATCAACCATCATTATCTGTATTTGAAATAATAAATAAGTCATACGGTTAAATATAGAACCTCATAAATTAGAAATTGAATAGCTCATGCAATAAATAAAATACAAATTTATTACATAATTAAAACATAAAATATTACTAGAAAATCTCATAATAAAATCAAATGTAATCTCTGCTGTTTTGAAGGTAGGAAAGTAAAATGTATATAAATTTAATTCTAAGAATAAAAAGCTAATATTTGAAATACCAATAAAAAAATAGTTATCTAAGATCTTATTCATTCCCTCTTATTAACTTATGTCATTTTTTGAAAACCTTCTGAAGATTGAACTTTTCTAAACTAATCTTGTACATAAACAAGAGTTTTTACAATCTTAGGAGTAAATAAAATCTTGTATGTGCCAAATATGTTCATCCATGCTAAATACAAATTCATAAGAAACTGTAGACACAAGTATTGTCAATACACCATTAGTCAACTGAGATAGGATAAGAAGTATATAATTGTTAAGTTTCCATCAATCAAAGATACCATAATCCTCTTTATCATCCTTATCAATTCTTCATTTAAGTACTTTTCATACTTTAATTTTCTACCTCTACCTCCAACTTTTAGTCATGAACTTTTTATATTTAATTTCATAGGCTACAATCTTTGATGCGAGGAGCTCTAAGATCAAAAACACATTGATCATGAACTCACTATACTTACCATGCAAAAACTTAATTTCCTAAATTAAGACGTCCCTACTTGAATCACAATCAGCAATTTAAAGGCAATTCAAGATAACTGAAAAAATAAAAAAGAATAAAAAAAATGTCATGACTTACTCAATAAGTTGATTTTGATTCCCTATCTCAGTCAATAAGATAATCAAAACAACTTCCCTTGAAGAACACTCACTCTCGAAATTAGCAAAACTAATGTAACAACAAAACTGAATAATTTTATCAATCAACAGAATTGTATATCACAACCTAATGTGAGGCCTTTATATAGGCTTTTACTAGGATACTTCTAAATAATTACAGTCACTTATATTTAATTGAAACTTTACCAAAATCTAGTTTAACTTAATCTTAATCTGAAAATAATAATTAATTTTTAAGGATAAATTAAGCAATAAAATATTAATTAAAAATTAATATAATATTATTTAAATAAGACTCCTCATTTTTACCATATTTCTCATGTGTTTTTCTTCTTTTGGACTTCAAGTTGTTGCAGAATTCTTCTTGAGAAATCAACCATAAAATTTACATGTGGAAATAAAAACAAAGAAAATCCTTTTTGGCATCAAATTCCTTGTTTGCATGTTTCTCCCGTACAGGCAAGTTCTCCCGACATGTGTGGGTTGGTTGCGAGTGCAGGATGACTTTCTTGCATAAGCACGCCTTCTTGCGTGCAAGTAAAAGCTCTCCAAGGTTGTGGCATGGTCTGGCTCGCTCCCTTTTGGTGCGGCCTCCTTGGGTCATGGCCCTCTTTTGTCGAGAGGCCTTGTTCCTCTTATCAGTTTAGGCTAAATATGGCATTCTTTCTCATTTATCATTCTTCAAGCTCGCACATATGAGCTAAGGGCCTCACATCATAATATACTTTTGTCGCGGGCCTTCATGGTTAAATAAATCCCAGTCTTCCTCGTTTTGGGATAAGGCTCGGCCTTGCACCTTGACATGTGGTTCCTTAAGCCCATGAAACGTCATTTAGGCCTCAAGCCTTCTTTGAACAAACTTTTCCTATTCTTTAAAATAATCTCAATTAGGAAAATGATTAAGGGTACAGATACTTTCTTCTTTAAAAAGATTCAATTTAGATAACACAAAGAATATGAAATAACTTGCCTATTTGGGGCGAGACCTATGGGAGTCCTTGCGAGAATTTTCTTTTTTTCGGGCATGCAACGCACATGTGTGTGTGGCGTCCTTGCACTTGTGCACGTACGGCTCCCATGTTGCATGCATGCACATTGTGCACTTTGTATATCCTTCCTGTGGAGGTAAATGCCCGCGAGTTGCATTCCCACAGGATTCTTGTTTCCCCCGAAAGTCCTACTTCAAGCGGGATTATTGTATTTTCCATAATTGTCTTCTGTTGCTACTAGTGCTCACATCAACCTTTTTTTAACTCGAAAAAAATTTTCTTATTGTGATTGAGAAACGTGACTTTAACTACTTTAAATTATTTGATTGTTATCATCTACTTGCTTAATTTATGGCAGTTGTACTCATAGTGTAACTCATAAGCAAGTTTCACCACCATCTTTGACATTGCAACAAATTATTCATCCATGTATATTCTTTTAAAACAAAAGTCCAAGTATTACAACTTATGTTATGGGTCAAGTGTCTAACATGGCTATTTTCTCAACGTTCCTCTTATACTTGCCATATTTTTCCTTTCTTTTTTGTTTTGTCATTGAAGTCAAGTCAAGATCATCACTTAATTGTCATTCTTGTAACATGCAAGTAACTTTTCAAATCTTTTTGAAAAGAGTGATAGAAGTAACACAAAGTGATTCCAAAACTTTCAATGTAATTTCACAAAAATTTTATAATCCATTAACCTCTTAAAGGAGTTCTAATCAAAATAATCAAGCATCCTATCAGTTAATTGAAACTTTTCTATGATGTAAATATGTTTTTCATAACTTTTAAATGTCAATTCAACTTCTTGGTAGTCTCTAATATCAAATATGTCGATTTCTATCTAATATAGTGTCAAGAAACATTCATTGATTTTTACATTAAATATAACTTTTTACGTTGTATCATTTTTAATTCAACACATTCTTTAATTTTTATTATCTAAATAGTGATTGTCTACTACATTTTACAACTCTTTTAGAATGAGCAACTAACTCACTTCTTTCCCTTATATCATCAACAATAATGAGACTAATGATATGTATAATGCATCTCACATAAATATATCGACCTTCCAAAATACTAGTTCCCATGTTACTAATTTTTTTTCTTTAAGGAAGAAATTGCAATATCATTTCAACTAATATTATCAATTATCACATTGAATACCATATCAATATCCTGATCATGTACATGTTTCTCAATTATCTTACAAATAGTCTCTCTTTTATGGCTTGAAATTAGACAAAAATTTATTATTCTTTTACACAATTCTCAGTCATTATTGATAAATGAGTCATGATACATATGTAATTGACTCTTTGTGTAAGATTCTATGTCTTTACCATAAAAAATACTCTCGTATTTTTAGATCTCAAAATCTACTTGAAATTCGTTTTTACATTCACATACAGTTCATAACAATCCTTAAAGATTGTCCATCTAAAAGAAATATGAAATATGGGATAAGTAATTGATATGAATTACCTAAATCTTATCCTTCATCAAATTCAAAAGGCAATTCATCTAACATAAACATTTCAAATAACCTTTTTCTAACTGTATTCTACTCAAATTTTTGAGTTCTTATGCTTTCGTCTCACTCAAAAAATGGATATCGTTATTGTTCAACACTATCAACACTAAGAAGAGAATGTTTTCTGCAAGATTTGATATAATGCTTAATGATGCAATTTCATTTCTTTTATTATTAACACAAAAAAAGCATTAACATAAGTTCATCTTTCCTATCATCATTTTCCTCGTAAGGAGAAAAATATTCTCAAACAAAAGCTTTGGTATTGGTGGTCATCTCACTATGACTTTGAAACTTGACTGCCATCTTGAGTGAGCACTGGTCCTTTAGTCTCTTACTTCTTAGTTCAACTTCAAGAATAAATCCACCTTTATTTTGTTCTTCATTGTGAGACGTCTTCAAAAATAAATCGAATATAATTAGATAACTTAATATTTAAAAAATTAAATTCGAATAATAAGTTAATAACTAAATCATACTGAGACTCAAATTTAATTTTATATTACAAGATCACGATATTGTTAAAAAAAAAACTACTTTAAATTATTAACAACTCTCGCTAGCAAATTAATGTAAGTTCGAGATGAATAATTATTATTAGAAATATTGTATTTGTACTTCTTAATATTAATGTTGATTTACATATTGAAAATTATTAATTAAGTTAAAACTCTTTGCTTTTGGATAGAAATGTGACTGCACAAATTCAAGAAATAAAAGTAGTGCAATGTGAAGGAAAAAGGATAGCATAAAACTTGCTAAGGTTTATGTGAACTGTGTGTGTGTGTATATATTTTTTGAAATTATACGTACTCTGTGTACATTATATATTATAATGCATATAATAATAATAATCACTAATTTGAAAAAAGAAAGAAAAAAAAAAGAGATCCAAATCAATTTTCGCCCTTGATAAAATTACTAAAAAAAAACACACGAACAAACAAACAGTTGGTAATTTGTATCCCCCCCCCCCACCCCCCCCAAATGGAAACGCCTAAAACAAACGCTATTAGCTTTTCTGCACTAGCAGCCTTGTAATGAATTTAACACAAAATTCACTACTCAAACATCAAGATCCAGTGATTTTACAAACCCACAGCTTAACACATCAGTTCTCAAAATTTCCGCCTACCAGGTCGAAATGACTATGCATTGCCATAACCCGTGAGAATTAAAACTATAGTTGGAATAGAGATGAAATGATGATTCATAAGCAAACACATGATTCTATTTATTTAGTCCTGATTGATTCTTAGATCATCTACTAGAAACAGAAATAGTACATTGTCTTGTTAACTCATTTCATTTTTGCTTCCGTGAACAGAACATGACGATTTACACGAGGATCATACTTTCTAAACTCCAGCTTCTCCATAACTTTCTTAGCACTCTTCTTCTTCACATAGAAGAATCCGGTCCCAGCAGCCGAGACAAGTCGGATGAACATAAACGTCTTCTTCTTTTTGTCACCCATTTCTTACTACATGTTCAAGGAAAAGCGGATGATTCAGAGCATAAGCAAATTGCATTCCATGATAATAAAAAAATAATAAATTTGCTCCAACAATAAAGAAAGTTCACGTGTTCCTTTTTTTTTTTGAGAGAGAAACAAGAAACAACTATTATAAACAAGACACCAAGGTGGTGCTATCCACATAGAAGATAGGCTTTACATGGTACCACAAGAAAACAAAATATCCATTAAGTTCCTTAGATCATCTTCAGAGCTAAGAGGATGAACATTAAACAAAACACTTAAAAGTCTAGAACCATTTATCTATAATAGAAACAAAAGGCACAAAAAGCTTTGGTAAACGCTCTTGATTCTTTCTTTCCAGATAATCGACAGCAGATGAAGGATATGAGCTTCTTTTTGGATTTGCATGCCCGTCAATATCATCTCACCCCCCATAATTTATCCATTATTGAGCCATAAACCACCCAAGACAAATTAAGAAGGGATAACATTAAGTCCCATATCCTTCTAGCCTCAAAACATTGAAAGAGATTGTCACAACGAGGTGATGGGATATTTTTAAACTCAAAAAATTTTTGAAATTGCCACCAGTTCTACTGGAAATGGATAGGATGCCAGATAATATGCACTAATCTAAATTAGAGATTCTTGATTCAGAAATAATGCAGAATAAGAAGTGCGAGACACATGCCATGCGATGCAAACTAATTATTCATTTAATTTACATGCACATTTTATAAACACTATTTAAGGTAAAGATGTGTGAAATTTTCATTCATTCATAATCAAATTTACCAATTAACATATTTACAAACCATTGGAGGTGGGGACTTAAATTAAATCCAAAGAAAAAAAATACAAATAGAAAGCTAAACAAGTAGAAAAGAAAAATTTTCGAAAATCTTGTCAGACGCAAACCTTCCTTCCAAAGTCTTTACTGTTTCTTGATTAATAATGAAACAAAATGCAATGATGATCCAATACATTTTTTAAAGACTAAACCCGAACAAAAAAATCGTTTTCTTTTTAGTTTGATTTTTATTTTTGTTGACCATATCCTTCGATTTTGAATTCGATCTCGAGTTCGACTTAGAGCAGAAACAAACAAAAGGATCCCTCAAGCAAGGGTATTACTAATATATCCATATTTCCTAATATAAACCAGCATATTCAGAAATCATGTTAAACACGACTGAACTCAGGTCAGCTCAAGCACTAAATAAATCATCCAATTTCAGAAGAACCAAATTTGTTCATCAATAGCAATTAGAGTTATTAAATCGAAAACTACTCAGTCTAAACAGCAAAGAAAATACCCATTTCAAAGCACCATGTTTATTCATCAACAGCAAACCCAAACTTAAAACAATCAAATCACAAACAATAATATGCTATATTATAATTGATGTTCAGAAAGGAAAAATCAGAATAGAGCTCTAATTATTATACTAAACTACAGCAACTGCTAGTAATTTAAGGAAGCAATGAAGAATTTATCATGGCTGGACATGCATTTTGAACATAGAAATCTCATTTCTATTAAATAAATTACATCTTTTCCTCTAAAATTCAAAGCATCTTTAAATCAAAGCAACAAAACCAGGTTATAAAGCAAATAAAATTCAACAAACTAAAAGAATACCTAAAATTGGCAACCTTAGCCCCGAACTCTTCCTTCACTTCTTCTCCAACTTACCCACTGTTGCACATACCCAAATTATCACTGTTTCTCTATTCTTACCCCCCCCCCCCCCCCCAACAATTACCTGTCTCTACTTTTAAATTTCAAACCAAAAAACCTTCACATTATTTCATCAATTTTTGTCCCTCTCAAACCCAAAAAATCTCCGCACCAGGTTCTTCCTCTCTCCTCAAAAGGTTAAGCTAGCTCACACTTCTGGAAATTATTTCTTCAGCAACGTGCCTCACGCTTCGAACCCTCTGAAAGTAGAGAGAAGCCACCACCAACGACCAAAAGCCCAATTGCCTCCTTTTATACTCAGCCGAAACAATGTCGTCTTAAACAAACCAAAAGACGATGCAGCCTTAGGCGTAAGACTACCTCTCATTTTTCTTCTGGGCCGAGGTTACATGTAATTTCCTGTTGGGACGGGTTGACCTTGGTGTTTCGTGCCTCGTATTTAAAAATGGAAATAGGGCTGAGTTTTCTTCTGAATAGGTTTTGGGCTTCCCAGATTAAATGGTGGGTTGGAAAGGCTCGAACAAAGGGTTGAGCTTTTAGATTTTAGGGTTTTTCCTTAATGGGGCTGAATTTAACTTTGAGATAGAATAGAATTTGAGCTTGATTTTAAACTTGGGTTACAATTAAAAATAGACTAAATGGGTCAAATATGATTAAAAATAGGTATTGGGCCTTTGTTTATTCTCATTCTTTAAAAAAAATCTTTTCATTTTCATTTATTTTTCTTTCTCTCTCTCCTTCTCTTTCCATTTTCCTTGACTGAACATCCTTGTCCTTTGCAAGAGCAAAAATGTTTGAGAACCTTTCTTTGAGAGGTCTCTTTCTACACCAACAATCAACCCAGAAACTCAACATTCAGTCATTTAGCCATTGCTAAAGCCTAAAGAGCATCAGGTCAGCAAAACAATTTCCAAAGCCTGAGTCAGCAAAAGCTTACTAATGCACTTCCATTTAATAGTACCAAACTTTGTATACTCTGAGTCATCCTCCAGCCCCTATTTTCCAATCCATATTTGCTAATAATCACACCTCTCCACAAACTGTTCCGCAATACATTAACTTTAAAAGCCATTTAGTCAATAAAGCTTTCATCACAACCATAATATATCTTATGCCAAGGCCCCCCAAGGCAAAAGGTCTCTTCAACACATCCCAAGCCACAAGATAGTAACACCTCCTCAGAAGGAAGCAATAATGCAGTGATTCTAGCCTCTTAACAATGCTAGTGGGGATGAGGAAAAGAGAAAGGGAATAAATAAGCAAGTCAGATAGCGTACTTCTGGCGAGAATGAACCTATTGCTTTTAGGGAGATTCTTCCAACAGAAGAGTCTTCTCTCCATCTTAAATACTTGACCATTGAATTTAGCCCCTAAAGAAAGTCCAAGTGTTCTTTGTCTTCCTCCAAACCCCCTAAAGAGAGCGAAAAGAACTCTCATATCTTTATGGATGCACAACCATCTATTAGGATATGCCGTTTAAGGTGTTTGGTGCAGCATAAAATATAAGATATTAGAAGTGCCTCAATAGCGTATAAACTGTTAAATCTTTTCAAAGGATAACTTACCAAATTGTTGGACAATAAAATTTTATGAAACTCTACTAAAATGACAAACAAATATAACCCAATTATGTTTAAAATATTGGGACCTAAGACTGCAATATTCTCCGAAGCAAAAGCCTTCCTTACCAGCTTTCTAAAAAACTTTGTAACAAGAGCTAACATTCTGCCTAGTTTATAAGCTCAATAGTATTTACCAAACATGTCAAGAATATTAAAAATGCCATTAGAGAGCTTATAAATTGACCAAAAAAACATGCAGCGAAACATTTTTAACTCTTAAATCCATCTTAGGCAAATAATATGCTTTTAAACATGGAAAATGAAATATTCCACAGAGTACAAGCTAAATTTTAAAGCAAAAGTAGAAATCTCATCATTTTTGTCAGCAATGAAAAATAAGCAGACAACTACATTTACTTCTAATTTCTGTTCTCTACCAAACCAGACAAGATCTTCCATACATCATCCATGGTCTTATATACAATAAAGCCTCCTGTAGCAACAGGATTCACTTCAAGCATGACACTGAATGAAGAGATAGCACTTCCCTCACAATTATCAACCCCAAAATACAAGATGCGTAGCAAACCAGGATTAAGAGACATACAGAGACACAGAGAGATACGTAAACAGAAAACGCATTTGAACTATAGTAAACTGGTTCTATGCAGTTGTACCCTCAAAATTCTGATAGATAAACTACAGATTTTTGTTTGGACTGGCAGAAAATGTTCCTTTTTAAGCAAAAAAACAGGTCAGAAGAAAAAAAGAAAGAAACGGTTTTCCAACGTACTGTAATTTTGTCCGGGTCGATGCCGAGATTCTGTGAAGAAGCGGAAGAGAAGAGAAACAGAAGGATTTTGAAGAGAAGGTAATCTAAATTCTAAAACCCCTAGTTGAAAGTCAAATACCACAAATACCCTCGTTCTTGAAATTATATGACTAAAAAACCCTTGGCTCTCCTCTCGGCGCAAATTAACATTTCCTCTTCTCGGATTTCTCCTGTGTCTCCAATTCAGTCTCCTGCTTGTGCCCCTTCTGCTCTTCTCAGTAGAGAAGATCAATCTATCTAGCCAGAAGGTAAATTAATTAGACTTGTAATTTCATTTTTGTTTCGGTAAACCACTGGTTACTTGTCTTGATACTGGGAAAAGTCAATACAGGTAAAAAGAAAAGATGCAAACATTTTATTCGGAATGTGGCTAATCGTTTGATCATTTGTGTTATTTGTTTAGGCATATAATTTCATTTAAAAATCAGGAAATGGCGAGCGCGGTGGATGCAGCGGGAAATCCGATCCCGACTTCGGCGGTGCTGACGGCGTCTTCGAAGCACATAGGGATACGATGCATGCCGGAGAATGTCGCGTTCCTGAAGTGCAAAAAGAAGGACCCGAATCCAGAGAAATGCCTCGAACAAGGCCGTGAAGTCACTCGCTGCGTGTTCGGCCTGTAAGGGTCTCCATCATGCCCATTTCTTTGTAGTTAATCTTGCTTGAAGTTTGTGATTTATTGTTTTCTTGAGCCGAGTACACACATTCATTTATACTGAATCTGCATTTTTTTATATATGTACTGCATAAAATTTCTTTCTAGGCTGGAATTGATTAGGGTATGAAGGAAACTGGGATTTGGATTTTGGTTATTTGAGGGTAAAGAAGAACCAGAATCATTTTTGTTTTAATTCTCTTTATATGATTGATGGAATAGGTCCATAATGAAATGCGCTGGGAATCTAGAACTGGTATAATAGTGTTTTGTTTTTTCGACTTTGCCAGTGAAGAGGAATTCTAGTTTTATTAGTTGAAGTAGATATACCATTGTGTATTGTTTCTTCTTATCACCATTTTCGTTGACCGAGTTTAGGACATGGCCATGGCAGTTTAAATTAGATGACAAATTTTCCAGTTTACATTTCTAGTCTTCTCTTCAGCAGTAATTCTGAGGATTGAGGATGGTGATAATGAAGAAATTCAATACCTCAGTAATTACCTAAGCAAGGCTAAACAAAATTTTCAGCTTTTTCTTTTGATTACAACAATCAAATGCTCTTTTTGCTTATCTCTATTTCACCAAAAACCACAGTACTGGGGGTTGATCCTGATTTTGTTCAGGAGGACTAGCCAACCAATGTTCATTCACTTTGGTAGCTCAATGAAAGGACATGCAGATCGAGATATCAAATAGGTCCCAATTATCAATTTTCGGTTCTAGCTTTTTTATTCTTTGATTTATCAGCTTTCTTAGTTAGAAACTAGTCAGCTGCCTTTTTCTTTTGGATTGAACCAGTCTTTCTTAGTTAGAATCTAGTTAGCTGCCTTTTCACTAGGTTTCATGTGGAGGCTACTACCAAAAACCACATTACCATGCTTTGATCCTCGTTTTGTTCACAAAGACACATCCAACTGTTATTCATACTCATCAATAGCTCAACCTGTTCCTATCATCTTGGTTATAAATGTTGGATGTTAGCTTTTGTAACCCTCCTTTTGATATATGGCAGAAATTTCACAACCGCAATGTTTAAGATCTTCTGTGGTGGTAGTTGCACTGTCAACCAAAGCTCACTGTGCCCAAAATTTGTTGTGACAGGCTCTACAGTGTATTCTCCTGTAACTTAATTGCTTGAAACTTTAAAAATTTTTTGCTTCTTGTTTGTGAAGTAGCCAAAGCAATAAAATGCCACATATGCTCAAACTAGATGGTAATTTCTTTTCTATTTTTAGCAAGGGCTTAGTAATTCACACTTTTTTCTCTCCTTATTGCACTTTTACCCATCATCTTCTCCTTTGGGCTTTGGCTAAATTCTGGACTATGGTGGTCCTATATGATAGAAGTAGTATATATATTTAGTACTATTTGTATATATGGGCTTGTTTGGTGGATTTGCTTGACAATGATAGCCAGATCTTTTTCACCTTAATCTTCCAAGTCACTAATGTGTGCTAGATTTGATTTAAATACCCACTAGCCACACCATCAGGGCATGGTGTAGAGCATACCTATGATGCTATATCCAGATCGTGATACGGGCTACATGTACATAATTAGACGCTAAATCAAGGTTTAAAGGGGGCCAACCTTAGTCAAAGTGTTATTTTGATCTGAAGTTCCACTGAAGCACTTTTAAATTTATTATTTGGATAATAAATAATAGTTTAGTGATACATTATGCTCTGTTTGGTTCTTTTTCTTTTTCTACAAGGAGAGATCTAAGATTTAAATCCTCTTTATAGCTATGTAGAGAATTACAATATTCATGTTGTAAATTCCTAAAGAATTGAGTTAATGTATTATAGGTTTCGAACAAATATAAGTTATAAATTTTTAGTTCCTAGAAAGAGAACGTTGTTTGATGAATTTGCTCTTCACTTGGACATTTACCTCTTCCATTTCACCAATTATTAATCTCAATTTGAAAAGAAGCTTGTTAAAATACAACCTTTTGTTTCTCTCTTTCTGTACACTATCTTTAGAATCCTACTCTACCAACTTGGCCATTCTTCTTTGTCGCTAATTTTAGATATCAAGATCAAGAACCAAAATTAACCCAGTGAACTCATACCACAAATGAAGTTCGAAAACTTTGGTACATATGTCGCTGGCCGTCTGGGTGATCTTAGTAATTATAGTCTAGAATAAATGCTCCATGGCCGGTACCTTGATGCAGGAGAATCTGGGTTCAGCGACCACAAGATTAACATTGGGTTTTATCTGATTGGTAACCACATGTTTCTTTGCATAGGATCGCCTAGGAGGGTTGTCAGATTCTAGCGCTTTGGTGAAGTTAATTTAACATGTTGGCACTTCAGTTGATTGTTTTTGCTTCAACTGAACATTTCGCAGCAAACTCCTCCTATGATCATATCCAGGATGACACACTAGTAACCAATATCTACAAGTAGCTCTACCAATTAGGCTATCTAGCACCTAATTAGAAATTTATTTATTTTGGAAGAAATTTCTCCATGTCTGGGGTTATATGTTCAATTTTTTTACTGTTCCCTTGTTCTTTTTCAAAAACAGGACTTACCAGTGCCAATCACCTATTCTCTCTCGCTTTTAACATGATTAATATTTCTGACGCACATTCTACAATCTGTATGAAAGCTAATTATATTTCTGAGTTTGAACATGCATGCTTTTCTTCCAATATTTTCTTAAGGCCGCCAGAGCTTATAGGTGAAATAGCCAGAAATTGCTGTAGTACCATCGCTGCTGAATATCCAACTTAAAATCATCTGCATTGAATCATCATCAGAAAAAAAAAAATCATTTGAGAAAAAACTCATAAGAATAACGAAAGGCATTTATATCGGACCTGTCCCAATAGAGAATGCCAACAGTAATGCTATCTCCAAATATGAATTTCTCACTATGCTAGCATCATATTTGTTTGCTTCTAACGACGAAATTTTTGACCTGCAGACTGAAGGATCTTCACCAGAGGTGCACGAAAGAGATGGATGCCTATGTTGGTTGCATGTATTACCATACGAATGAATTTGATTTATGTCGCAAAGAGCAGCAAGCATTCGAGAAAGCATGTCCTTTGGAGTGAGTGTCTAACAACATCTGTGATGCCATTCTCATAATAAGCAATGCCCGTTTGCAATGAGGGGATACTTTTGTCGCCTAAATCTTGCTTTTCCAAATCTGCTTGTCTCAGTTTTTTGTGTCATTGATCCAGGAGAAAAACTGATATCACTTGTCCTCATTTTAAGTAGTATTCTTGATGGCTGGATGTCATTCATTTGTCCAGCTCGTCCTTCTGATATCTATGTCGAAGATGCATTTTTCTCTTGCTCCATGATCTATTCGCTATTAGTTGCCTAAACACCTGAACCATGAGAATGCATGTTATGTATATTAACACAAGGTCATATTTGTTCAAAAATCTGAAATCTGACATAGCTCGGAGGAGAATGGTGCCTCCTGAGAATGTCTAGCTATTATATAGTCTTTTTTTTTTTCCCCCTTTCAGTGATCAGGGTGGTTTGTATTTTAATTAAAAGAGGAAACTATTGGAAGTTCATCCAGTCATGTTAACTCTTTTTGAAACTCAAGTTTGACCAAATTAAAGCAACCACTGTTTGAACCAAAAGGAATTTTTATTGAGTCATAATAGCTTATTGAAATAAAATTACATTTTATTTACTGAATTAAATATTATGAGTCGATTATTATTAAATTATAATATATATATATATAAAATAATTTATTATTAAAATTTAAATTTGTACTTTTTTAAGTAATACATTAAGATTTTAACTATTAAACTACTATGTTTATATTAAAGATGTTGCTTTTATTCTTAATATCCAAACTCATAATCATCAAGCAAAACACTATCAAGTATTTTAATAGAATTTTTATATATATGATATTTAGAATTTTGTGTCATACAAATGAAGACAACTTTGATTGACAGCCTATTTCATTGACAATGAATAACAATTATAATATATATATATATATATATTTCATTTAGCATAATGGAATGTTCAGAGTGTTATAAAGAAATATGTAACTTAAAGACAAAATGATTTCGTCAGTTAACTAGCCAAAAAGCTGTACGCAGTGATTTTCTAAAGAACTCCTTATGTATCATATTTAATAAAGTTTTTTCATACCATATGTAGTTTCCTAAATATTTGTGTCTTAACGAGGTTTAGGTTATATAAACTACCATCTCTATTAGAACTGCATTGTATTCATTAAACCTTGTGATAATAAAAAATACTAATTTTAAATATTTATGTGCATCACATTCAAAAACTTTAAAAAAAATTTAAATGTGATAAAGTATAAATTTAATCGAATGTTCAAATTGAATTTCATCTAATTACTACACGGTAGTCTATGGCAAGGGGCAAAAAGAAAAAATAGTTCACTATGAAGTTTTAGCCGTCGCCTAAAAATTTATTTATGTTATATTATATATAACTAAGTTTGTATTATTTATTATGCATAAAAAGATATCCTTCAATAAAAGTTTTAATAAAAATTAGTTCAATTTTTTTTTAAATTTTAATTTCAATAGAATTTTAATTTGATAGCATAAATTCTAATCATACAAAACTATCTTATAAACTGCATTTGAATTTGGATTCAAATAGTTTTTAGAACATAATTTATACATTGAAAAGAATTACTTTGAAAACGAGATAGACTTTTTTTTGTTAAAAAAGTCAAGCACACTTTTTGATAATATTTAAATAATTTTCATATTTAAAGACTTTTTGATAAGATTTAATTCTTATTTAAAAAATAATACTGACACATGAAAAAGAAAGTTCTTATTTAGATTATATAGCTTTGAATTACATACCACCTTTAAAAATAATTTTCATATGTTTTGAAAATTATATTTGAATTGGATTTAGATACAGTTCTAAATTTATATAGTTTATATAATTAAAAATCTATTTAAAAATTCTGATATATGGCAACTAGAGTATTATTTCTATATATAAGAAATAGATTATAAAAAAGTTATTTTTATTTAATAAAATTATATAATAAAACATATCATAAAAGGTATGTTATTATTTTGTTCCCTAATTTCTCATTAAATAATTAATATATTGAACAAATATCTAAAGATAATATTATGACATATAATAACTACCTATATTACTTATAAATATAATATAATAAACTATAATTCGTTGCTATAAGTTTACATGCATATGTAGATTGTGAACCAAAAGATTATGCTCATAGTAATATAATCTATGTAACAATTTACTACACCTGTTTGTTTGGGCTTATTAACTTTTTGCTAAGCTGTACAGTTTCTATACAAATGTTCACTTTCTTCCGTCAATATTGATTCTTAGTTAAAAATATTACTTAATTATTGTTTAATGAATTACTTATTATTATTTATTTAAAATACATATACATACATGTATATATATAACCCCTTCACTTCCTTTTATGTTGTCCTTTAAAAAGAAATCCTTTAACTAATCATCTTAAAAGGTAATTTGGCCAAAATAAAACACTAATAGCAAGTTTGGCAATAGGCAATCAACTAAAACATATAACAAAATAGTCAAAGAAACAGTTGAGTTTGACGTCCATCAGAAGTTACCTTTTCCAGCAAAAAGCACAGAAGAAACTATATCCACCATTAGACAACTTGGTAGATTTCTAGATACAACCTTCATCTGGATATACTAGTACTAGAAGTACACTACCTAACAGGAGCAACGCTAACAAGCACCATCGATCAGCAAACAGCAATCAATGCGGGCTGCACGAAGAACAACGATCTCTTAAAACGATGTATAAATATATGATGAAGACAGATAAATGCAGATAGAGAGTCCATACTGATGGTCCTTATGCTGGATCAGTAAGCATGCACAAGCCAGATATGAATTTTCCAAGCTACAAAATATAATAATATAGCTTGCACAAAAACCTAAACTAACAAATATTGGCAGTGTACGAGCAAAATCCAAAAAAATGAAGGATTTGAAGCCACTGCGGACTCTTAAATTCTTGGATAAAAATATAGACCTAGATTTCAACTAAATTTTACTTTTATCAAAGAGCTTCTAGGTTCCGGACATCAATCTGTTAACAATGTGCAGTCATGCCTACCTAAACGATCGTGAACGAGACCTTGAAGGACTGCGACTAATACCCCTTGGACTCCTTGACCTGCTGGGTACATAGTCCCTTTCATGGTGCAGACTTTGACCATTCTCCCTTGAACTTGGGGACCTCTGGTTCGACTTGAAAACCCTCTCATCATGTGGAGAAAGTGACTGTGAGATAGATCTTGATTGTTGTGGGAAGCGGCTCCTTGGCACTGGATCCCTGTCACAGCAACAAGAAAAACCATATACAAGAGATTCACTCCAAAGAAAAAGATATTCAATTAACATCAAAGAATCCAAAATTGATTTATAAATGAAAAGTAGATCCATCAATAAGCAAAAGAAAAAAAGTACATGCATCGACCATTGAGTACAAATTAAGTCAGTATTCAACACAACATAAAGAAAGTACCAATTTATTACCTCTCAGAAACCTCAAAATAAAGCCATTTTTGCACTAGATCAATCACAAATTTGAAACAGAAATGAGTAGGGATGACAAATCTTCTACTTACATCCTCTTTCAAATCTAGTTAACCAAAATATGACCTTTACCTGCACCTCTTTTCAGGTTTCTGAACAAAAATATGATACTTGGATCCATATACGGAGAGATTTATGCTCTATAATGTTGTACAGGTTGATCTGCACCGGACAACTCCAAAGCTCTCTTTGCCCCAACTTTCTAAACCTCAAATTATCTTTTCCTTGAACAAATTCTCTACCAGTAAAAACTTTGAATGGCTTCCATTCTTTGAAGATGATTCTTTGTTTGACCAACTATAGGCTTTATATTCTTTCCTAACTGGATGGTATATAGAAAACAAGATATCAAGTTTACAATTTTTCTTAATCAAACAATTACTTCACAGGTTACAGATGAAGAAAAAGATGAGATACCCATGAGCTTTCACACCAAGTTTAGCTAGTCATTTCATTCAATGGCAGCAAGCCTCACAAACCAAAAATCAAAGAACAGCCCAGCCATGCGTGGATAACAGCTGGCGAAAGTGATATTTTGGATAATACTTTTTGTGGCTTTGCACAAAGATAAGCATGCTGTCCATCACTTTATGATGTCTTTTCTCTTTAAATCTTTATTAATCCAGAAATCTTTATAGGCTCCCTTTCAGTTTACTATCTGCATAAACAAGGCCATTGGCAGATAACATATTATTCAAATTAACGGGAAATAAATTACATCCAAGAGATAACATTACGATGCACGAAC